TCTTATGAACCTTATATTTTTTTTCCAACTTTTCAACACGTGGCCCAAGCATTTAAGTTCCACCAATCATTACAAAAATTAACTCAAAATAAATAAAGAAATTATATCCCACTCGATCACAATCACAAAAAGTAAGAGATAAACAAAATTTAATTTACTAAATTTAGCATTGAAAATTGCATAGTCATCTAAAAAATGAGTAAGAGAAATGTTAGAGAAAGGGAAAAGAAAATCCAGTTACTTTTGTTTCTTGTTTTAAAATTTTTTGAGCTCTATTTATTTGATATGTCAATTATGTATCAAGTGAGAGTTAATATTGTCTTTTTGCAATTATTAGAGAACATAAATGATATTTTTAAAATTTCAGAGTACTAAATGATATTAGGAGAAACCTCAAGGGAGGTTTCTAATATTATCCCACAGATACAAGCACTGACAATTGTGATATCCTTGGTCATAAGACATATTTCATAGGTAACCAGTCAATTTAACACTTGCTAAGCCAACAGAATTCGGTATATTTTTATTGAAGAAAAGTCAAACAAAAGAAGTACTGCTTACAAGAAGATAAAGTTTGAAAAAGGAACCCCAAAAATAATAATAATAAGTAAAAGATTTCCTGGCTGAAGATCGAAGAACAAAGAAGCATAAAAGAAGATATAAAATGGCACAGAAAATGCCTACCACTTTCCATCAATTGTGGATATGAAGTCACACCATGAAATGAAGCACTATCAAAACCAAAGAACGGGGGGTGGAAAAAAAAAAAAGAAAAAACAGATTTGAAGCGGAAACCTTGAAAAAAATGAGAAATGGAGATTTTTTTGTGTGGCATCAATACAATATAATTTGTGGGACATGATGGCTACGACAGGTTTATGCCAATGGACTTTGTGAATTGTGAAAAGGTGAATGTGAAACCTTTGAATTTCACCTGAAATGTCGATTATGGAAAGATTGCTTAAATGCTTTTTTCGTAGGTCAACTACACCTGAATCTTTTGTTACAAGGAAACGTCTCTTTAACGTCTTGAATTTGTAAGGACCTGCTTTTGGTTAATTCTCATAGTAGTAGTTGTAGGACGCTTTGAGCCATAAACAACTAGTGACCGGGGTACATCCTGCGTGAACATGCCTAAAATTTAGAGAAGAAAAGTAGGTGATTAACATAAGTACAACCAGAAGTGTTTGTTTTTTATCCTGAAAAGTAAACAAACATGGTGTAAAGGGAAGTTGTTAAAATCCGTGAACAAAACCATCATAGTACTATTGAAATTTTTGTATATGACGAGATATAATTGAACTAAAGCTGTCAATATTATTGAGAAGTAGCTTTTTTTGTTTGAAAATTTTTGACAAAGAAGACCAGGAAATTGTTTTTCTTGGTTCCTTGAAAATGTAATTTTAACAGAAACCAATTTAATTTCAGACATCTTAAATTCTTAATTGTCATTACACTCTTTAATTTAATAAGTCTCAAGAATGAGTAAACCATACATAAATATAACTGTTAAGAATATCTAGCTAGACTGCGAGGGGTCACCCATTAGAGGCAAGATTGCTACATTACTATGGTTTGTTTGGATTGATTTGACTTCGGATAAAATAATTTACTTCACAAATTTCAATCACCTTTTTTATTTTTTCAATCACCCTTTTATTTCATATACATCATATCACATATCACAAAAAGTGCTACAGTAATTATCTCAAATAAATCATCCAAATAAACTCCTATCCAAACAGACGCACGCCATCTCCACAATCTAAAAATGCCTTTAAATGAGCACCAAAATTGATAACACAGCTTTTTCTCTGTCAACTCATGTTATTTATCATCTTTCTGTAGAGACTCTCATTAACCCATCGGAATGACCCGAGGCTAGATTCCATTCTCTCCTTTATTTCCTTTCCTTGTGCTGAACTTCCTAACAACTGGATCATATTGTGTAAACACAGCACTCATCTTGTAGATAGGATTGCCAATGGTCGGGTCAGGTTGAAAAAAGTTTATCGAACCTAAATTTTAATTGGGTTGGACAGAGTTTGGATCTAAATATTAGGTTCGAACTAAATATGAATGGAATTTTGATAGGGTACAATTTGTTAGCAATTTTATTATTAATTTCCCCTTTTATCCCTGACAAATATTGTGTTAATTGCGGATATTTACTTACATTTGGTATTTGGAATCAATTTCAGGAGCAGAGCAGAAAATTACCATAAAGGAAGGGAACAAAAGACAATTGGGCTGAGGGCCCACCTTGTGTACTTCATTGGCTCAAGTCCTACGGGAGAAAGGAGGAGTAATCTCCTTTGGCTTTCAAGAAGGACATCAGCGGGGACCACGAGAAAAAAAAAAAGCCTTTTCTTCAATTGGGCTCTTGAGAGAAACGGACGAGGAGAAGCTTTTTCCTTGCAATCTTTTGCTTGCTCCCGAATGGTGGTGGGACCGCGACCTAGGTAGCTGGGAGTCAACTTCCTTTATGTTTCTCTATAAGTAGGAAACGGACAGAAGCAGTCCGGGGCCAGCTTTTAGTTCTTTTACTTTAGTTCAGTTTTTAGTTTTCCTTTCTTTTCCTAGGACTGGCCTCTGACACACGCCAGGTGTTTGACAATATTCCCCAACGGGGAAAACATCCTCCATTCCTTACTTTTTAGTACAAAACAATGCCTTCGCAATTTATTAACTCGTGTGATGATTTAATTATGCGGCGTGGCTAAGTCTTCCATCTAGTCAAGGGTCAACTCGACGGCGCAGTCCCGAAAATCTGTGAGATCTAATTAGTTTTCACGTGTTTCTTAATTTATTCATATTTGCACATTGCCTGCTTGTATTTTCATGGGATTATTTTATTAATTGGATGTCAAGGGCCCGATGTTCAATGTGATTTATTAATCTCGTGCCAATTTAGTCAATTAAATCCGTAATTGTTTGATTGATTAATATTAGTGGCAACTGGTGTGTTTACACATTAGGGGAACGTGCAATCTAATTTAAATAACCCTCGTAGCGTGTTATTGGTTAGGGCTAGGTTTTTCTAATATTAATGCAATTGGGAAATTAATTCCTATGGTCGTACCTAGGAGTATTTGCTGATTAGGGGTAATCAACGGTCGTACCTTGGTTATCTATAATTTAAGGAAAAATTGGTCATCAGACTATAACTAGCCTATTAATAAATTAAGTGAACCTCTCCTGCATCAATGATCGGATAAATGGACTGTGCCTGAGTAGTTGCATCCTTGGCTAGAATTTATTTATTCTTGATTTAATTCCTGTTTTACTTGTGCTGGTGATTTATTTATTTTTAATTAAATTGTTTAATTATTTTTAGTTTCATTCCGGTGAAATCCCCCCTTATCGATTGGACTTTAAAAAGAGACAGATATCCCCAGTCCCTGAGGAGACGACCCTACTTGCCACTGTCTACTATTTAGTAATTTTTGTCAATTAATTAATTCTGGTATATCGGGTTAAGCAAACTCTTCGGGAACAGGGTGAATCAAGTAACCCATTACACACCTAGAGTCCCTGCTCCAGTACCTAGGATTAATTATTGACTGCTTATAGTGGTAGTTAGGTTCTATATTTATTACTATTATTGCACAGGCTGACGACCTGTCAATTTTTGGCGCCGCTGCCGGGGACTGGCGTTATTGTTTGTTTCTTTTTAAATTCATTTTGTGTCCTAATTTTCTGGTTTTCTTCTAGTGTATGCCTCGATCTTCTCGCACAGGTGATTTGATTTTTGACCCTGAGGTAGAGAAGACCGCGCGTAGAACGAGAAAGGAGACCAGACAACTCAGAGAGGAGCACTACAGTGCTGCATCTGAGAGTTCTGAACCAGGAGTTGACCCAACAGATTCGTTTGGCGACACTTCAAGTGACTCTGACCAGGAGGAGTTCACCATGGCTAATGCACAAACATTAAGGGAGTTGGCTGCTCCTGATTTAACTCAGCAGCCTTTGTGCATTACTTTCCCCGCTTTAAACGACAACATTCCATTTGAACTAAAATCTGGTCTGATTCAGCTTTTACCCTCTTTTCATGGTTTACCAGGTGAAGAGCCGTATAAGCATCTGCAAGAGTTTGATGTCGTGTGCAATAATATGAAGCCCCCGGGAATCACAGAAGAGCAGATAAAAATGAGGGCATTCCCCTTCTCCTTGAAAGATTCTGCGAAGGACTGGCTGTACTACCTGTCACCAGGTAGCATCACCACGTGGGGCCAATTGATGAAAAAATTTCTGGATAAATATTTTCCGGCGTCCAGGGCTGCAAGCCTAAGGAAAGAAATTTGTGGGATCAAGCAGCATCCCGGAGAGTCACTTTACGAGTATTGGGAACGGTATAAGAGCTTGTTGCGCAGGTGCCCCCATCACCAAATAAGTGAGCAGTTGATCATACAATATTTCTATGAGGGGCTCATTTTTAGAGACAGGAGCATCATAGATGCTGCAAGTGGAGGGGCACTGGTGAACAAAACCCCTCAGGAAGCACGGGAGCTAATAGAGGGGATGGCAGAAAATTCACAGCAATTCAGTATAAGAGAGGATGTCCCAATACGTAGGGTGAATGAGATAGAGACACCCTCTGTGCAGCAGCAGCTAAATGAGTTGACTGCATTCGTTAGGCAACAGGCTGTGAGAAATGCATCACAAGCCAGGGTATGCGGGATTTGCACTGGTATAGGTCACTCTGCAGACATATGCCCAATGATTCAGGAAGAAACTGCAGAACAGGTGAACATGGCTGACCACGCGCCCGCGCCAAGGAAGCAGTACGACCCTTACTCGAGCACCTACAACCCCGGGTGGAGAGATCATCCCAACCTCAGTTATGGAGGGAATAGGCAACCCAACTTTGCACAGAACAGGCAGTCTAACTTTGTGCCAAATAAGCCACCAGGGTACCAGCAGCAATACCAACCCGACCACCTCCGCCCCCTCAATCTGGTTCATCTATGGAGGAGATGATGAAACAAATGATGACAACCATGGCGCAAAATCAGCAAAGGACGGAGGCAACTATATTGCAAAATCAGCAAAGGACGGAGGCAACCGTTATGCAATATCAGCAAAGGACAGACTCCGAAATACAGGATATAAGGAATCAGATAAGTCAAATGGCCACAACAATCAACCGCTTGGATGCCCAAAATCAAGGTAAACTGCCATCTCAACCGGAGTTGAATCCGAAGAACGTGAGCGCAATGACCCTAAGGAGTGGAAAAGAAATTCAGGGGCCTGAACCTGTGATTCCCAAGGACAAGGATGAAGAGAAAATCGAAAATGAGCTTGGAAGGGAGGGCAGAAATGGTGCAGATCCAAAGGTACTCCCTGACCCAATAATTGCAGTTAAAACTAACCCACTTCCTTTCCCTAGCAGGTTGGAAAAATCGAAGAAGCAGGATAAGGAGAAGGAGATCTTGGAGGTTTTTCGCAAGGTTGAGATAAATATCCCCCTCTTGGACGCCATCAAACAAGTACCAAAATATGCCAAGTTCCTAAGGGACTTGTGTGTAAACCGAAGGCGATTGAAGGGAGATGAACGGGTCATAGTTGGGGAAAATGTGTCTGCGGTCCTGCAGAGAAAGCTCCCACCCAAGTGCGGGGACCCAGGTATGTTTACTATTCCCTGTAAGATAGGTAATACTGTGATCAGAAGGGCCATGTTGGATCTGGGAGCATCAATAAATGTCATGCCTAAGTCTATCTATACTTCTCTAAAATTAGGTCCATTAAAAGAAACTGGAATAATCATTCAATTAGCTGACCGAACTAATGCATATCCTGATGGGTTGGTTGAAGATGTGTTGGTAAAAGTTAATGATTTGGTGTTTCCAGCTGATTTTTATGTACTTGATATGGATGATGATCACTCCCCTGATCCCTCACCTCTGTTATTGGGTAGACCTTTTATGAGCACAGCACAGACGAAAATTGATGTTAATAAGGGTATTCTGTCCATGGAGTTTGATGGGGAAATTGTGCATTTCAATATCTTTGATACTATGAAATATCCCTCAAACTCCAACTTTAGCTCAGTTTTCTCTGTGAGTGCTATTGACCCTGTAGTGCAGGAAGTGTTTGAAACTGTTGGCAGGGATGAGTTAGAGGTGGCTTTAACAAAGCACCTCGAGTTGGAGACAACTCCTGAGGTGGAGTGGAGCGAGGATCTAAAATGCACAATAGGTGCATTACACTCATTGCCGACCACCACAAAAAGGTATGAAGCATCACCTATTTTTATTCCTGAACCTCACCAGAGGGTATTGCCATCTGTGGTGCAGGCACCGGAATTGGAGTTGAAACCCCTACCAGAGCATCTGAAATATGCATATTTGGGTGATAATGAGACACTCCCGGTGATTATCTCATCGGCACTGTCAAAAATCCAGGAAGAGAAATTGATCCGGGTTCTTCGGGAGCATAAAGAGGCGATAGGCTGGACAATCGCAGACATTAAGGGGATCAGCCCTGCCATCTGTATGCACCGGATTAGGCTAGAGGACGATGCCAAACCTGTTAGGCAGGCTCAAAGAAGGCTCAATCCCCTCATGATGGAAGTTGTGAAGAAAGAAATTTTAAAATTGTTGGATGTGGGGATTATTTTTGCAATCTCTGATAGCCCTTGGGTGAGCCCGGTCCAGGTAGTCCCAAAGAAGGCAGGAGTGACGGTGGAGGCCAACCAAACGGGTGAGCTTGTTCCAGTGCGTAAGCCCACTGGATGGAGGCAATGCATAGACTACCGTAGGCTAAACGCCGTCACCAAAAAGGATCATTTCCCTCTCCCTTTCATTGATCAGATGGTTGAACGTTTAGCTGATAGAGCTTATTATTGCTTTTTGGATGGATTTTCAGGATACTTTCAGATAGCAATTGCCCCGGAGGATCAAGAGAAGACAACCTTCACGTGCCCGTTCGGGACCTTCGCCTATAGACGAATGCCATTTGGATTGTGCAACGCACCCGCGACTTTCCAAAGATGTATGGTAAGCATCTTTTCTGAGTATGTTGAGAAAATAATAGAAGTTTTCATGGATGATTTCAGTGTGTATGGAGATAGCTTTGATACGTGTCTAGATAACCTGAAATTGATCCTGATAAGGTGTATAGAGACTAATCTTGTGCTTAATTGGGAAAAATGTCATTTTATGGTTGAGCACGGGATAGTCCTGGGTCATATTGTGTCGTCTAAGGGCATAGAAGTTGACAAGGCTAAAATAGACATTATTTCTGCATTACCTTACCCCGCGAGTGTGCGGGAGGTGCGCTCTTTTCTTGGACATGCAGGTTTTTATCGAAGGTTCATCAAGGATTTTTCAAAAATTGGAGCCCCGTTGTTCCAACTCCTACAAAAAGATGTAGCCTTCGAGTTTGATGATATGTGTGAGAGAGCCTTTAACAAGCTGAAGGAATTGTTGACTTCACCCCCAATCATCCAACCCCCCGATTGGAATTTGCCATTTGAGATCATGTGCGATGCCAGTGATTATGCTGTTGGGGCTGTACTGGGGCAAAGAGTAGGGAAGGCGGCTCATGTCATCTATTACGCATCCCGAGCCTTGAATGGAGCCCAGTTGAATTATTCCACCACTGAGAAGGAGCTTCTTGCAGTTATTTTTGCTTTGGAAAAATTTAGGTCATACTTGTTAGGTGCTAAAGTGATTGTATTTTCTGATCATGCAGCATTGAGGTACCTGATGACCAAGAAAGATGCAAAACCGAGGCTCATACGGTGGATACTGCTCCTACAGGAATTTGACTTGGAGATAAGGGACAAAAAAGGCTCAGAAAATCTAGTAGCGGACCATTTGAGTCGCATACTAGTTGAAGAGGATAGCGAGCCATTGAAGGATGCATTCCCCGAAGAACACCTATTTTCCTTAAATTCTCAGTTGCCTTGGTATGCGGATTTGGTCAATTATTTAGTAACTGGTAATTTTCCTGCAGGTTGGCCGAAATCGAAGAGGGATAAGTTGAAGAGCGATGTAAAATATTTTATCTGGGACGACCCGTACCTATGGAAGAGGTGTGCAGATCAAGTCATGAGGAGATGTGTAAGTGAAATGGAATTTCAATCAATTCTAGCTTTTTGTCATACTTTTGCCTGTGGAGGTCATTTTGGGCCAAAGAGAACTGCTCATAAGGTTTTAGAAAGTGGATTTTATTGGCCCTCATTGTTTAAGGATGCCTATGTGTTTTGCAAGTCATGTGATCGCTGTCAAAGGGTAGGTAATATAGCCCGTAAAGATCATATGCCCCAAGTCCCGATGATTTTTGTAGAAATTTTTGATGTCTGGGGTATAGATTTCATGGGCCCTTTTCCTACTTCATTTGGTTTTCTGTATATTTTGCTGGCAGTTGATTATGTGTCTAAATGGGTGGAGGCTAAGGCCACTCGAACTAATGACTCGAAAGTGGTTGCAGATTTTATCAGGTCTAATATCTTTGTGCGATTTGGTATGCCTAGAGCTATTGTCAGTGATAGGGGAACGCACTTCTGCAACAAAATCGTAGCTGCCTTATTTCGCAAGTATGGTGTACTCCACAGGGTCTCAACGTCGTATCACCCCCAGACCAATGGTCAAGCGGAGGTGTCGAATCGGGAGATAAAGTCCATCTTGGAGAAAATGGTGCGCCCCGATAGAAAAGATTGGAGTCAACGGTTGGAAGATGCACTATGGGCCTATCGGACGGCATACAAGACACCTATAGGGATGTCTCCCTATAGGTTGGTATTTGGTAAGTCGTGTCATCTTCCAGTAGAGTTCGAGCATAAACCATTTTGGGCGGTTAAGCAATGCAATATGGATATTGAGGAGGGCGGAGTCCAAAGGAAGTTACAATTACAGGAGTTGGAGGAGATCCGCAATGAAGCTTATGAGAATGCGGTAATTTATAAGGAGAAAAATAAAATTTTTCATGACCAACAGATCTCAAGGAAGACATTCGAGTGTGGGCAAAAAGTTCTGCTGTACCACTCCAAATTGCAGTTATTTCCAGGTAAACTACGTTCTCGTTGGATTGGCCCTTTTGTTGTGACTAATGTCTTCCATTATGGTGCAGTCGAGATCCAAAGTTTGAAAGCTGAGAAGAAATTTGTAGTGAATGGGCATCGTTTCAAACCATATTATGAAGGGGTTCCAACTGAACGGGTGGAGGTGATGCACTTGGAGGATCCTACTTGCTTAATTTAAGCAAATTATTGGACAATGGCTAGCCAAAGACATTAAAGAAAGGCGCTCATTGGGAGGCAACCCAATTGTTTCTTTTAATTGCTTGATTGGTTTCGTGTAATAGTTTAAATCTGCTTTCCTTGAATTTGATTGATTTTGGGTGTTAATTTTCGTTTTTGCTGATTTACAGGTGCCCTTCAGTCATGACGTGCCCGCGTGGTGATGTGCAGGAAGCTCACGATCAGGAAATTCTGAAACTTCTGGGAGCTCTCCTGCCCTCATGACGTGCCCGCGTGGTGATGTGCAGGACGCCCACGATCAGGAAATTCTGAAACTTTTGGGAGCTCTCTTGACCTCTTGACGTGCCCGCGTCACGTTCGCGGGAAAGGTAAGGGTTCAAAAATATTTATAAAAAAAAATATATATATATATATATATATATATATATATAGGAAAAACTATTATTATTATTTCAGTTATTCAAATAATAATAAAATAAATAAATAAATAAAATAAAATAAAAAATAAATAAAAAAAAAAGTAAGAAGCTGATTATTGTTCCTCTTAACCGTAGCATTTTTTTTCCTTTTATAAAAAAAAAAAAAAAAAAAAAGGAACTTTCTTTTCTTTCTTCTTTCTTTCTTTCTTTTTCTTTCTTTCTCTTTTCTTTCTTCTCCTCTGCTTCTCCCCTGCGCACGCCGCCGCCCAGTACCAACTGCCATCTCCAACTCCACCGCGCGCCACCTTCTTCCTCGACCAGACCGCGCGCCGCCATTCGTCCTTGGCCGCGCCAAAGCCGCGGCCGCCGTTGACTGCCACCTGGGATCCACAGCAGCCCGCCACCCTGCTCTCTGCGCACACCGACCGAGCAGCCGCGCCACCACCCACGGACGTCCTTCCCACCATCTCCGCTCACACCGCGAGCTCTCTCCCTCTCTCTTCCACCCACGGCCATCAGCCGTTACCCAGATCTCCATCGCCGCCGCCGCTGCCCAGTCAGCGTCCGCCATCAAAATCGCAGCCGCCGCTACCTCTCTGAAGCCGCACTACCCAAGCGCCACAACCCAGCTCCTGTACGCCGACCACCGGCAGCCGCGCGACCCAAGACCGCCGCCGCGATCGCTGCCAGACAGCTCTCCTGCGCAAGGCGACCCAACCAGCGGCGAGCACTTCACTTGTGTGAAGCTTTGACCCTTCTGCCTTGTCCGCCGACTGCCAAGATATTTGCGGAGGTATTTGGAGCTTGCTCCCCAATTTCTCCTAAATTGATTACTGCTATCTGGGTTCGTCAAGAGTTGGCATTTTGGCCGTGTGCGATGTCCACCAGTGGTACTGGTTGGAGTATTTTCACTTGAATTTATTACTTCTTTTGGGTTAGCTGCCATACTGCATGTGTCTATTGATGTTTGGGTAATTTGATTAGTTGCTTTGGACACCCTGCATGTGGAATTTTGCTTAACTTTTTGGGGTCAATTTGGTGCTTGGTTGACATTGCTATTCTGGAGACCATTGTCTGTGGCTTCAGTGGTAGTGATTGGCTTAGTTTCACTTGGAATTATTGCTTATTTTGAGTTCATTTTACTCTATTGACTGTTGGGTTGGAAGCTAGAAGCCTAGGACTTAGTTGTTCTTGCCCGATTGCTGCGCTATTATTGCCTCCATTGTTTACTGCTTGCGTATTCCTGGTTGGCTCTAGTAAGGTTTCAATCGTTTTCTTAACAACATCCTGGTTGCTGTGCCCCGTTTCTGAGTAGCGGGGTTCTATTGGTATTTTGGCTCTACTTAATTGTGCCCGTTGCTGTCCAACTGCTTCACTGGTTGGCACTGTCAATAACATAAAGTACCAATAAATCTGTTTTCCTTGAATTTTACTGATTTTGGGTGTTAGTTTTCATTTTTGCTGCTTTATAGGTGCCATTCAGTCATGACGTGCCCGCGTGGTGACGAGCAGGAAGCTCACGATCAGAAACTTCAAACTTCTGGGAGCTCTCTCGCCCTCATGACGTGCCCGCGTGGTGATATGCAGGAAGCGCACGACCTGAACTTCTGGGAGCTCTCTTGCTCTCTTGACGTGCCCGCGTCACGTTCGCGGGAAGGGTAAGATTAAAAAAAAAAAAAAAAGAACAAAACAAAGAGAATTTTTCTTATCACCGTAGCTTTAGTTTCCAAATTTAAAAAAAAAAAGAAAAAAAATTTTAAAAAAAAAAATTTGATTCCCGTAGAAAAAAAAACAAAAAAAAAATAGAGAGGAAAAAATATTTCTCACCATAGCTCCAATGGAGCCTAAGGAAAAAAAAAAATCTTTTTTTTCTTTTTCTTTTTCCTTCTTTTCTTTTCTTTCTTTTCTTTCTTTTCTTTCTTTTTCTTTCTTCTTTCTTTCTTCCTTCTCCCCTGCTCTCTCTCTGTTGTCCGAATCCCTTTTGCCCGCCGCCCACTCACGCCGCCCACCTCACTCACGCCACCACATCAATTCGCCAGCCACACTTCAGCTCACCTCCGCAAGTTCTTCCCCAGCTTCGTCCGCCGCACGCCGCCTGTCTTCTCCCTCGCTATCACAGCCCTGGCAGCTGACAGCTCGCGCGCAACCACCAGCAACCACTAGCTTCCCGCTGCTATCCCTTTTCCCCCTTTTCCTTCTTTTCTTTCACGCCGTCCACGGTTCTTGTTGCCCCCTCCACTACTGTCCGCAACCAGCTCCACCACCACAGCAGCTCCACCCCGCGCGCGCAGCTCGCAGCCGGCAGCCTCCACTCTCCTCTTCCTAGCGCGACTGCCTCCACTCACCCTAAGCCGCCGCTCCAGCCAGCCGCCGAGCTCTGAGCTCCACCACCAGCCCATCGCCGCCCACAGTCGACAGCGCGCGGCCCTCTCTCGCTCTGCTTCACCACACGCGCAACTCCAAGCGCGCCGCTGCCTATTGGCCTCGTGACCGCCACTAGCCGTCGCTGCTCCGCTGCTCACGCCATCCCACCTGTCCAAGTTGACAGGTGGAGGTATTCCCTTTTCAACCTCGATTCGTATTTTTCTAGTTCTTCTAATGCTGGAATTTGCATTTTTGGGTTTCTTGATAGCTAATAGCAGGGGGTGATTGAGGCATTTTCTGGGGTTCATTTAGAACTGAATTGAGTTTAATTGCTGCTAGATTGTTGGCCGTTTGATTAATTTTTCCCTGTGACTCACCAGTGGTACTGGTTGATTAATTTTAAAGTTTAAGTTCTTGCGGTTGAGTTGCTGCCATTGAATTTAATTCTTTCCTGTCTGTGCACCAGTGGTACTGGTTGCAGTGTTGCTTTCCATTTCTTAATCCTCTGTGCTGGCCTGCCTATTTGATTCTTGAGTTTTGGTGCCTGAACTGTTCTCGAATCCTAACCATTGGTTGTTGCCATTGCCTGCTGCTTGGCCCAATTGCTAAGTTTTGATCGTTTGAGTTGGGTACTTGACTGTCCAACTGGAGGCAGTTGTTGAGATTTTGGGTGGATTTGTGTCCAATTACTGAAATTTGTTGCTTTGTTTAGTCACTCACACTGCTCCTAGTTTGTTCGAATGAAATTGGTTGGACGTCCTTTGCCCGGGGAGTTTAACTGTTACATTGTTTGGGGTGATTTTCTGGTATTCATCGAATTGTTGGGCATTATTTGGGATTGTGGCTGCTGGAGACCCCTATTGCACCCTTAGTTGAGTAATTTTCTGGGTTGGTTTGTTGAATTAGTATTGCCATTGGTTGACTCTAAGTACCTTGTTTGGGGAGTATTCGGTTTTGTGATTTCAATTGCTAAGCTCATTGGAGCACTTGCCGAGATTTTGAGTTGCATGATTTCTGCATTGACTAATATTCGGACCACCATTGCTTATTGTTTGTAATAGCTGCTTTGTTGAGACTTTCGCCTAGTCCTTAGGTGCCTGAAGTTTCCGTTTTCTTGATTGGGGCGGCCGTTTATGTTGCTTCATTATCTGTGGGATGCACCAGTGGTACTGGTTGGGGTATTATAACTACATTTGTTGCCACTTGGTTCTAGTTGGTGGGCTACTTGATCGAAAACTGCCAAACATTTTGATTTAGTTGTAGTCCAAAATTTGAACTACTATTGCTGGTTTTGACGGTTTCTTGGCTCATTTGCTAATTTCGGTTGGTTGAGTTGTGTAATTTCTTATCCAATTGGAGCCATTTGGACAGATTTTGGGTGGGCAAGTTTTGTCACTCTCTGTTGATCTTTGGGAGGCATTTCTGACCGTATTCTACGTATTCAAATTGGTTGAATTCACTGCTTTGTTGAGGTTATTTTTGGTATTACTTGAGTTTTACTTTGCTAATTTCTGTCTTGCGTCCCTTGAAATGCCTTTGGTTGGGTATTTTCTTCATTTGTTTGTTGAATTGGAAGGCTACTGTGCCACTTCCATTGCTTATTGCTGTTGGTGGCGTCTAATTGACTTGTTGGGAGTATTTTACCTATTGATTTCAATTGCTAAATCTTTAGAGCATTTGTTGCGATTTTGGACTACATTGTTCCTGCATTTGACCCAATTGGGGCCACCAGTGAGTATTGATTGAAATTGCTGTATTGTTGGGATATTTGTATAGTCTCTAGGTGCCTGGGTTGTGCATTTTGTTGATTGGGTTGTCTACGAAGGAGGCACCAGTGGCTATTATATTGTTATTGTTTTGAATTCGCTAAGTGGCCTCTCCCACCGATGGCCTCTGATGCTCAGTGGATGAACGAGTAATGCATATCGCCAACCAGGTGGCTCCAATCCCTAAGAACCTGGCCGGGTATTTCCACCTGAACCGCCCCTATTTTGATGACTTCAGGGAAGTAGTGTTGCCCCTCTCCTTCCTTCTACTTTTACATTATCACATTGAGGGCAATGTGTCATTTAGGTGTGGGGGGGAGATCAGTTGGGGTGCTAGTATTTTTGTTTTTAGTTTCTTGGGGCTTTTCCTTTATTTTTAGTTAGTTTTTGCCTATCTTTCATTTATTTTATTTTCTTTTTCTTTCTAGTGGTCAGTCCTTAAATGAATACCA